ACCAGCCTAAATCTTCCAAACTAGATTAGTTACATACTGGACACAGATTTTTTAAACTGTTGACATCCTTAGATCCAGGTACGATTTTTTTCTTTTTTATGGTTCTGGAAATTTAACATAGGCCTTCCTTGATCCTTTGTATTTTTAATTTTTGACACAAAATCTCACTAAGTTCCTCCAGTTGATGCATAAACTTGTAATCCTCCTGTCTCAGCCTCCCAGCATACTGAGATTATACACATGTGCCACCATGGCTGGCTCAAGCATTTTTCTCAAACTACCCTGTCTCATAACCATCCCATTATCATTCAATGGTTATTTTCAAAAACATGTCAAGGAAATAGAGCTTTTTAAAATGTAAAGGGGATTAGAATGGAAGGGAACAGGGGGAGATGAGATGGGAATGATGCAAAAAGAACTAAGGTGTGGTATGTACATACTCAACTCCCTCCAATAAATATAAACATCATATACTACAACACGTGTACAAACTACATAATCAATTTAGGATATATTGATATGGAACCTCAAAATATAAAGTATTCATTACAGGCTTTACTTCTCAAGGGAAATATAATTACATGATCATTTAAACACCAGTTTGCCCAACCATGCTGGAAATTATGTACCAGAGAAATCTAAAAGGGACTTCTATTTAGAACATATAAAGAACTGAAAAAAAGTCAGGCCCTACTAAATGCAAAGACACAATCCAAAAAAGGGCGTCTGAGATGAGTACACACTTGTCAGATAAAGAAATGCAAATGGCAGTGAAATATATGAAAAAAATGCTCAACATCACTGGTCATCTGAAAGATATGAATTAAAACGACACTGATTCCATCTCACATCAGAAAGTATGACGGTCATCAAGAAATTAACCAATAACAAATGCTAGCGGGCAGTGGGGGGAAAGAACCCTTCTCCATTGTTGGTGAGGCTGTAGACTGGTCAAGCAACTGTGGAAACCAGTGTGGAGATTCCTCAAAAAAGTAGGATTGGAGGTCCTATTCTATCCAGCTATTCGTCTTCTGAGTATTTTCCCAGAAGAACTGAAAACTTGGTATCACATTGATGTATTTGTACTCCTGTTTATAGCAGTGTAATTTGAAATAATTAAATCTTGGAAATAGCCCAAATTTCCATCAAATGAGAAATGGATTTAAAAGGCTGTAGTATTTTTATACAATGGAGTAGTACACAGATACAAAGAAGGATAAACTTGAGGCCTTTATAGGTAAATGGACGTGAATTGAGATCATACTCTTAAGTGAACTAAATCAGACTCGCATGTGTAAATATCATATTATCTTGTCTGCTTAATGAAAAAACAAAACAAAACAAAACAACAACAACAAAAAAAAAAAAACCTGAAAGAGTAGGAAATCCAAAATGCAAAAGAGATAGTGTGAAAGGGAAAGGAATAGCTCAAAATAAAAAACAAAAAACAACTAGGAAAGAGGAAAGGAAATAAAGGAAAAGATAGATAACTGTAATACTAATTACTGTTCATCAACAAAAAGAACATTTTTGCTTTCATTGTTTGATCATTTATTCACACCTCTACCTTGTAATCTGACCACCTACTTTGAAGATAACAAGCAATATTAGTCCTTGTTAAAGTCTCATTATTTGGTTTTGAAGTTCTGCATCACTGAGTTTGTTTTGTTTTAAAATTAAAAAAAAAGCATAAATCCACTAAAAAAAGAGATACCTAAAAGGGATGTGAGTGGCAGATAGAAGACCTGAAGCACAGTGGACAGCTTCCTGTATTTTCTGCTTTTCTTAATGTGTTCTCACAATGTTGCAGAATGGCTAACACCGCAGGGAGCTCACCTAGTACAGAAAAGCAAAAACAAAATCCTGGAGGCCTGATCTCTCTAAACAAAGGATGAAGAAAGTGGCAACACAGTGAGACAAAAGATTTTCAAAGAGTGAGTGATCTGCTCAAGCCAAGGATCATAGGAAGAAGCAAGGCCCACCTCTAACCAGTTACATGGCCACAGAATGCCTCTACGTCTAGGATGCCATCAGAGTAGGCAAGTTGGGCAATGTCTGGGATCTGATAATGTCAGGAGTCTAGGAACTTAATAACTGTCAGAGAATCCCAAGTTTCTCCCTATGCCATCAGGGGTAAGCACATGGAGTCTCTGCAGTCATGAGGGATCCATCCACTCCCCGTAGGGACAGTGATGGAGACAGCTCAGCCAAGAGCAGGGACTGCAACACAACAACAAAACCCCACACACTCTTAATCCCTCCACAAGCCACATGAGGAACACCACAGAGGATTTACTGCCATCCCAGTCAGAGATGGGGCAGGGAAAACCCAGATATCTCACAGCACAAGTAGATTTCCACTCTTTGATATTACAGAATTCTGAGCAAGGGATCAAGCTTCTATACCAATCTAGAATTAGAGGCAAAGTCTCTTCATTCTTGACTTGGATAGTGTCAGAGCAAACAGCTAAAGTTCATTTTAACAACATTCATCATAACACAGGACCCAATATGTTCAGTTTTTTTTTTTTTTAATTTGTTGCTCCACCAAGATATGAAATGACCTCAAATTGAATGGAAAAAAAGACAATTAACAAAGGTCAGCACAGAGAGAATGTTAGAATTATCTAACAAATAATTAAAAATACTCAGGATAATAAAATACTCAGGATAATAAAAAGCTCTCAAAGGCCAACTAAGAACTTAGAAAGCACCAGTAGCAAAGAGAACTTCCTAGTAAGGAAACAGAAGATATAAAGAAGACATGAATGAAAGCTTTAGAACTATAAAATGCAACATCAGACAAACATTAATCAGTGGGTGCAATAGCAGCATGAGAGGAATAAAGAAAAGCAATATCAATTACATAATAAGAGAAATTATTAAAGTTGAACAATGGACAAAATATGATTTCCAAGATTACAACAAAAGATTCATTATTTATATTGAGTGAATTCAGGAAAAGGATGAGACAGGGACAGAGCTATAAAAGCACTCACACAAGCTAGGGCCATAGCTCAGTGGCACAAGCATCTGCCTGGCAAGCGTGGGGTCCTGAGTTTGATTTCTGGTACCAAAAATTAAATTAAAACTTTTTTTAAAAAGTACGCACGCAAATAATGGGGGAGCGCTTCACAAATTTGGTGAAAGACATAAACCCATATTTCAAGAAACAGAACAAAAACTTAATAGGTTAAACTTGAAGAAACTCATACCATGACAAAGTGGCATACTGCTCAAGGAAAAAAGTATCTTGAAATCATCAAGAGAAAAATGACACATTACCTCTAGCAGAAAAGCAATTGGAGTGAGAGAATGGATTTGTCATTGAGGTCAAAGGGAAATGGACCAACATTTTCAAGTGCTGTATAAAACAAGTACTGTGAATGCACAACCTTGTATTTATAGGAAATATGTTCAAGAACAAATAAGAGAATTTTTCATCTTCATATGTACCTTACGAACAATGATGAAAGAAAATTATTTAGAAAATGATGAGAGAAGAAATTTAGGAAAATTAGGAAGGGATAAATGCACAATTTTTACTTACTGCAAAAAATATAACTACAAATTGTGTATGACAGTTGAAGCAAAAAATAAAAGCATCTGATAAAGGAGCTGGGGATTTAGCTCAGTGGCATAAACGCCTATCTTGGAAGTGTGCAGTCGTGAGTTTGATTCCTGGTACCAAAAAAAAAAAAAAAAAAAAAAAAACAAAACAAAAAAACAAATCTGATATAGTTCTAATATATGGAGAAGAAATAACTATGAAAATCATGAAAATAAAAAATTTTTGAATTTTAAAAGAGGTACGTTTGTTTTGGGGGGATGCATTTGGGTCAGGTCTCACAATGTAGTTCAGGCTGACCTTGAACTCACTATGGAGTTCAAGCCCTCAAACTTGAGGTGATCTTCCTGCTTCAGCCTCTCAAATGCTGGAATTACAGGCACACACCACCACACTTGGCTAAAAGTGTTAAGATTTACATATTTCACTCAAATGATAAAATGATGTAACTAGTAAGTTATGAGAGGTTATGACATGAAACAAAGAAAACATTAACAAAATCTATACATTAAATACATATTCCAGAATTAGAAATCAAAATGAAATTTTAAAAATAAGAAGCACATAAAAGAAAATATCTGGGGAGGCCAAGCAAAACAAACATTACTCATTAAAAAAAATTCATGGTTTCATTATTAATAGATTTCAGAGCAAAAAAATTATCAGAGATAGAGAATAACATTATAATAGTTAAACTAGGAACAAACAGCAGTACTAGAGAGGTACGAAGTTTATGCAGCAAATACTGAAAGAACTGGAAGGGGAAATGTTTCTCCCTTAGGTACAGCTGAAGCATCAGCACCTTCTTCAGCACCTTCCTGTGCAAGGAATTGAGAATATGGTGGTAAACAAAGAAAGAAAGAAAAAACAAAACACAAAAACAAATGAGACCCAGTTCTGACTATGAAGACTCACGCTTTATGAGGGAAGATGCATTTTAACTAAATATAAAGTAATTGACGAGGATCATAAATGAGATAAAGGGACTTTCTAAAACACTGGAATGTAGCCTCTTTTGTTTAACATACTCTGTTAAAAATAACACACCTGTCAATAATACCTAAGCAAGTAACTCCCAAGTTAGAGAATCTAATAGGATCTGTGTTGCTTCTGTTGTATTTTCTAAAGATAATTTTAGAAAGCCATATGGTTACCCCAAATATGGTGCAAATATTACCCACAGCTGGAAAATAAGCTACTGCCCGGAAGATGGAATTTTCAGTTTCTTATGCATTTGTTTCGTCAGTTACACGGTCACACTGACTCAGTCCCCAGTGCCCCTGGTGTTCTTTGGTGCGGAATGGAAGGCAGGTGGGCACTACAAGAGCATATGAATGAACACACTCCCAAGAGACGCAGCGGTGGGAGATGGAAGGAAAACTTACCCCTGAGAAGTGAACACCAGAAAGGCCTGGGACGTGAGTGGACTTACCACTGTATAGATCTGATGCTTTCGTCTTTTAGCCAGGTCAATTATGTTTACTCCGTTGTAGTAAAGGTTTTCGAGACATCCGTGGAAATTTTTCTTTAAAAAGGTCCCAGGTTTGCCCGGTACTGGAATTCCTCCAAAACTAAGCTTTATGGTAGGAAAAAAAAAAAAAAATTAACTAAGTGATAAGCATTGAAAGAGTAGGAGAGGAAAAGTAACAAATGCGTTTCAGTAGATTTGATTGTATGTAAGAGCCAAGTGGCTCAAATAATTATAGATGCCACTTGATTACACATTTAAAAGGATACTGATTATGCCATGTAAAAATAACTGTAATTGCTTGCTTCTTAAGGGCTTATTATACAAAACCATTTTCATTTCTTTTCTGAACCTTTTTAATACTAAATAAAAATATTTTACAGAAAGGAAAAGAAAGAAAAGATAATCAACATCTTTATATTCATCTCTTACACAAGCATCATAGATTATACAACCAAACAAAAGCCAAGGGACAGACAAAACATATATCTTTTAGGCTACAGAAAGAGCTGGGCTGAAAGCTTGCATTTTACACAAAAAGCCTTATGCAGGGGGTGGTTCCCAAACTGTTATCTATAAAGATGAAAAATAGGAAATCATGCATGTATCCAGGCAGTTTTGTAAGGCGAATAAAAATCAATATGAAGAACTATACTTGGTGTCAGTAATGACACTTATTGAACATATGTGATAAAATGAGAAATGAATGCAACATCTAGTGAAAAGTGCAAGGGTTATAATTGGTTGTGAAGTATGATGTCAGCATTAAAAATCTGTGCATGTAATATACGTTGGGAAGAAACACACTACAATATTTATTAATGCTCCTTGTCTGTGGAAAGATTTTGGGATGTTAGTGTCCTTTACCATTTTCAGTTGCATTATAACAGAAACTACTTTTAATAGATGTATTGTTAAAAATATTTGTTAATGAATATAATTTTAATATGCCATAAAATCGATACTTTTTATAAGACCATTTATCCTATCACCGTTAAAAGTGTAACTACTTCTTTCTCTAATTTCAACTACCACCTGCACTTTGTACCTAAACTACATCCAGGTGCCCGCATCTAGTACTTACACTGCACGGAGGTCCGGCCCCCCTCACCCCCACCAGGGCAACTCGCTCTAACACACAGACTTACACACACATGAATGCACAGACAATGCTATGGGGGGAGGTGTTCTTGCACTTGCAAAGTCTTCTCCTTATATGAAAATTAGTGATACACACTAAAGACAACTTCTAGACTTTTTAAAAATATAGTTTCACATTACTTTTTTAAAGTCTTTCTTCCTGAATAGTAAAAAGTGGTAAGAGTTATTAATCTGTTGCTAACTTTTACTTACCACTACTTTACATTTTAAGGTGATTATTTTAATATTTTAATCTGTTTTATCTTAAAATGTAATTTTAGGTGATTTTATTTAAAAACGCTCTTTACAGTCATGGTTAAAGAGTAATTATCTACACACAACACTTATTTGGAAAGGATACATGCTTAAATATGTCAGCTTTCTAAGAACCATATTCTCTAAATGTTTCTGAGAAGGCTTTCATTTAAATATATTATTTCTTATGCTAGTTTACTTATTCAATTAATTCTTCAAAATTTTATTCTTTGAAGAATTCTATCATGTAAGAGTTGGTTCATTCCAAAATACATCATCATGAAAAAATATATCCATGCTATTGGTGTTGCCTCCTTTTCTCTTACCAGTTATTTGCATGTGCTTCTACATTAACACGTAAATATTTTAATTTGAGTTTGTGAAAGGTTCATCATATAAAGCATGTAAAATACTTTAGTTTTAAAATCTGTTTTTTATACATTTTTCTCTTATTTTATTCTCCTGGTCAAAATCTAAGACCGGCCAAAACATTTTAAGGGATGTTTAAAAAAACATTAACACCACAGAATCTTGTGAACATGAAATAAAACAAAGATTTTCTTTCTTTTTTTTAAAGTACTCAGGACACTAACTCGGAGGCTACATTAAGGAAATATTTCCCTATTCCTATTTTACATGCTGTTTGTTGTTTTTTTATTTGAAATTGGCATAAACACTTGAGTTTTGTCCCTTGGATTTTTAACAAGTCATTGGATGGCATAAAGGATATTTTGTGTAATCAACTGCTGAGATGAATTTTATTATTAGATTATGAATAATGATGCGCTACAGTAGATCCCCTACAGTTTTTGTTGCATTTATCTGGAGATAATCCATATTAAAAGCAGCAGAGGAGGCTGAGTGTTAGCTTTCTTTTATGAAGTATTTGTACCAAATCTAGGTTTGGCTGTTAGAACAACTAAGAGAATTTTATCTTTCACTACAAGAACAGTCCCTAAGTCTTGGAAAATATTCTGGTGAATATTAAAAAAAAATAATAAGGATAAATTTCTTTTTCTTTGTTGATTTATTCCAATGTTCAAATACTGGTGATGTGAATCATTTATGATTTTAGAAGTTTCATTCTTTAATTTGTAAACTTATGCATAATTTAAATTATCAATGTCAAAGTATAATAGGGTGGTTTTACCTTTACATCTTTATTTCTATAATTTTAAATATTTAAGGACAAGTTTATTTTTTATTTTAATTTTGGCCATCTTTATGAATTTCTAAATATATTTGTGATGCTTTGCTTCACCCAGTTGTAACCTAGGAAAATACTGGTTGCAGAAAAACATTTGAAGGAATGAGAAGAACAGAAAGGCACAGTCATTAAAATAGTCAAATACAGTACCTGAAGGACTCAGGTAAAAGACTTCTCCTCAAAAGCCAAATACTATGCAGCATACTACATATAATGAAATTATAATTTGCTGTTGAGTTGAGGGGCACAGTCTCTACTTCTAGGCTGAGTGAAGAATTTGGGAAAAATTAGACGGCCACAGAAGTAGAGATGGACATTGTAGTTGTGTTGGGGTTTGCTTTCTGGTCCTCTCTGGTGCATCAACAACAGAGGTGTGTTAGGGAAGATGTGGCTAGAGGTTGTCATATAGATCTCAGAAACCAAGGAAGGTCCTTTACTCCTGATTCTAATAACTGACAGGCACAATCCTATCAAAATTCCCTGAAAGTTAACAAAGCCCCAGACCTCAACAACTGGAGGGCAGACCAGGAGGACTGAGGGAACTCATAGATGGGCCTGAAGGCTATTGCATGATAGCCTAGTCATACCTGGACATAGTGACAGGTGAGCTGTTGGTGACTCACAGGCCCCTGAGAGGAGGAAGGGGTGTGCTGAGACACTGAATAAATGCACACAGGGAAAGGAACTGGAGTTCTGAGGGAGACCACCTGACTAGACTTTACAGACTCAGGACATGGCAGTACACATTTTCATGGCAGAGGTTGACACATGATTCTCAGGACCCTAAACTCTCTGGGACTGGTGGGCCTGTCCAGTGGAACCATAGGATAACATGCCTTTACTTATGCAGGATATTACAGTGAACCAGTTCATGATCTGCCCAGGGAAAAGCATACAAGGAGAAGGGAAAGATCTCAGTATAACCCAATAGTCACACAAAAAACGTATGTAATTTTAAATAAGGATTAAATAGTTGTGCATTGGGAGGGGTGGATTTTTCTGCCACCAGGGGAAAGAGTGTCTGATGAGCATGCTGAATTCAGTAAAGGACTAAACAAAATTGCATTTATGTACATTTGCATGGGAGTGTAAATTTTACATCTGACATAGACTTTTCAAGTAGAGAATTTGAAGTTTTATATATAGAATCATAGATTTAATTAACTATCATATAAGGTAGACTAGAAAATTTGTTTCACATATTGATGTTTTCATTTTCTATGTAATATTTATTTTATAAATATTTTAGATATGTTCATGTTATACTTGGTACACAACTATTAATTGCACATTACAGTTATATCTCTTGTATCATTCGATTTTATGTTTTAAAACTTTGGTGATAAAGCATTAAAATATTACTTAAATCATATTTCTGTCAATCAAGCCACTCACAAGAGACACTGTTGTGCAGACCATGGGTTGCTCAAATCATGGTAGTGACTATTTGCAAAAACTGAGTATTGATCATTTGCAAGCTGTTCTCCTGTATAGCTCAGCTGGACTCCGATCAACTCCCAGCTTCCCCACTGTGGCTTCTGTGCTTAATTCTCAGTTAGTTCATTCATTTGGTTGCACAACTAGATATATAAAAATCACCTCCTTCCAAGCAGTATAATCAGTATGTACTGCAGATGAGTACTAAGAAAACAGCTTCCTTACCCTGGCTCCAGTGCCTCTGCACTGCAAAACTGATTCTTAGACACCTCATAGCCAGCCCGGCATTAATCAGTATCAATAGAAATAAATGGTCATTTAAAAATCTTTGAAATTTATTAACACTATGTGATAGATACATGTAGTTAATATGTGTGTTTTTAATTACGGACAATAGTGATAATTTGACAATGATTATCTTGCAAATTTTTACTTTCAAAGATTTTTTGTTCTGCTTCTACTATTTTCTCACATGATTAGTGTATCTTTGTCTCCAATTCCAACTCTTTAAAAAAACTTTAAATTTCCTTCACTGATTTCATTCTTGAGGATGTTGACACCATGTCTTTGTCTTTCGTTAGTCTTTGGCATACTTAATTATGTGACAGACACTAAATAGTTGTGAGCAAAGGATGGGTTGGTGAGCTTCTAGGTGTGATCAGACACTTCACATCTATAACTAAAGGAGGAGAGGTTTATTTTGGCTCATGGTTTCAGAGATCAAAACAGAAATCATAGTGAAAAGGCACAGTGGAAGAAGACAGGATACTCAGCTTGTGCCTTTCAGGAAACAGAGAACAAAGGAAGACACCAAGAAGAAAGGGGCGGAGACCAGCTATTTCTGAAAGCACAGCCCAGAGTTCCACTGGACACTCTACAGTGCACTTTGTTGACAGCCTGTGTGTCTCCCAAGACAGTCAACTTGAAACATCACAGAGAGCACAGGAGATGACGGAAGGCGTCCGGTGTATGGGGAACAGGACTGCAAGCCCAGCTGGTTCTCAGCTATTGATGGGCATCTTACAGTTGTCATAAAGTTTCCAAAGTCTGCCACATCCACACAATTAGT